AGGGGGTGACAGAGGATTTCCTGAACAACCTCAGAGGGGATCCAGGGAGGAAATACCAGCTCAGTGGAGCTGTGGCTTACGAACCCCTAATGAACTACCTGGATGTAAGTGTTCAAGCTTTTCCTTCCTCCTCCCAGCCGCCCTGCTCGGGTTTTGGGGGATGTTCTCCTGCTTTCCTGGCTGCCTGTAGGAAGTTCTGCAGTGGGGGCTCAGCTCCATCCCCACTCACCTGCTGAGGGGCTGTGCTGGGCTGGGGTTTGGGGGGGTTTAGCCTGGCTCTGAGGGCTGGGTGAGGGGGACAGGAGGCTGCACCTCTTGTCCTGAATTGGAAGGAGGGAAATAGATGGTTTTAAGACATATCCGTTACTCCTGGCCTTGCTGCTTTTTGTTGAGGGAAAATCACTGTCCCTTTCTGTGCTTTGGTTGCCCTCAAGGGCCATGAGCCCTTCCTAGAGCCCTGCAGCAGTTTGGGTGTCTCAGCAAGCAGAGGGCAGAGGACTGAAAACTGATTCCAAGAACAGGCAGAAACAAAAATCCACCCACATTCTTGTTCACAGACCTTCTACTTTGGGGAGATTGGCATTGGGACACCCCCCCAAAATTTCCTGGTGATCTTTGACACTGGCTCCTCCAACCTGTGGGTGCCTTCCACCTACTGCCAGAGCCCAGCCTGTGGTGAGTACCCCTGGGGGAACAGAGTCGGGGTTGGTGGGGTGGATCTGGGGCATCCCTTGCACACTGGGGGCTGGAGCTGTGACAGGGAGATCCGTGAGAGCCTTTGGGCTGGTGTCTGCTCTCAGCAGGGCTGGGTTTGTGTGGTCCCTTCCCTGGGAGGGTCTGTGTGGGGACAGGGATGCTGAGCCAAGGGCAGGCTGTGACCTGAGGCTGTGACCTTGTCTCTGTGCAGAGGATCATGCCAGGTTCAACCTCAGCCTGTCGTCCACCTTCCTGGGCATTGATGAGACCTACACCCTGAACTATGGGTTTGGGGACCTGTCGGTGGCGTTGGGGTATGATACTGTGAGGGTAAGTGGCTCCTGATGTGTTGGGATGTGGCTGCACGGGGTAAGGAAGTGCCTGACCATCAGTCCAGCTCAGCTCAAAACTCAGGGGGTAGCTGAAGGGGATTTTGGGGGTCAGTGCCTGATCAGTTTAGGGCATTTCAGTGTGAATTTCCTGAGCCTGAGATCTGCAAACAAGTTCATTGAGTTCTCTGGGATTTCCACCCCTGATTTAGGCTAAGGGATGTTTTTGGCCTCCAACATTTGCTTTCTACACTGGTGTCTGAGCTTTGTCTGTACAAGACATAAGAAATGATCTGTGTGAGATTTGCATGCAGTGAAAAGGTGGTTGTAAACTAATAGAACTGAGGCAAACCCATTTTTGTGGGTACTTTCAGAAATAATGAGTGATGGGACAGACCTATGGGTCAGGCTGATCCCACCCCACTGGTGATGGGGAAGAGCTCAGCATCTCCCAGCACAGATTTACCTTCAGGACCAAACACTGACATCTCCCAGCATGTTCCCTCTCCCACTAGATCCAGAACATCATCATCAGGGACCAGGAGTTCGGCCTGAGCCTGGATGAGCCCAGCAGACCCTTTTACTACCTGGACTTTGATGGGATTTTGGGCATGGCTTATCCAGGTGTGGGCATCAGGGGTTTCAACACATTGATGGAGAATATGCTGCAGCAGAACCAGCTCAACCAACCCATCTTCAGCTTCTACTTCTCCCGGTGAGACCTCTGGCAGCAGGTCCCTCTTCCATAGGCACAGCCTGGATCCACCTTTTCTCCATCCACACCTTCTCCCCACACACCTCTGTGCTCCACAGCTTTCTACAGAGCATCCTGCCTGATTTGGGGTCTCATTTTGTGTCTCCCCAGCAACCCAACATATGATTTTGGAGGGGAAGTCATCCTCGGGGGGGTTGACCCCCAGCTGTACTCTGGGGAGGTGTTATGGGCTCCTGTGATCCAGGAATTCTACTGGAAGATCAGTATTGAGGAGTAAGTGCTGCATCATGTCTTGGGGCAGGTCTTGGAGGGTGTCTCGGTTTGAGAGACAGGTACCTTTCCTGCTGGTTCTCCAGGTTCTCCATTGGGCTGTCAGTCACCAGCTGGTGCAGCCAAGGCTGCCACGGCATTGTGGACA